GATGTCCGATGGATCTTGGCTGAAAGCAGAGAATATCAGAAAGATGTTTACCTATGCTTTATTGCCTACGTGAAGGCTTTCGATTGTGTGGATCATGACAAAGCTATGGACAAAATTGAGAAGTATGAGTATTGTACTTCTGAGGAATCTGTACCTGGACCAAGAGGCAGTTATTCGAACAGAGCATGGGAACACTGACTGTTTTAAAATTGGGAAAGCTGTGGCTACAGGGCTGTGTTCTTTCACCATACTTGTTCAATATGTATGCTGAGCAAATAATACAAGAAGCTGGGTTCTATAAAGGAAAACGTGGCGTCAGGATTGGAGGAAGACCTATTAACAACCTGACATATGCAGATGATACAACCTTGCTTGCTGACAGTGAAGAGGACTTAAAATATTTACTGATGAAGATCAAAGAGCACAGCCTTCCATATGGATTACAAATCAATGTAAAGAAAACAAAAATCCTCACCACTGGACCAATAAACAGCATTCTTATCAATGGAGAAGAGACTGAAGTTGTCAAGGACTTCATTCTTCTTGGATCAACTATCAACACTCGTGGAAGCAGCAGTCAAGAGATCAGACAACGTATTGCATTGGGCAAATCTGCTGTACAGGAACTTTTTAAAGTATTGACGAGCAGAGATGTCAGCTTGAGGACTAAGGTGCGCCTGACCCAAGCCATGGTATTTTTAATAACCTCATATGGATGCGAAAGCTGGACAGTGAATAAGGAAGATCGTAGAAGAATTGATGCCTTTGAGTTGTGGTGTTGGAGGATACTGAAAGTGCCATGGACTGCCAAAAGAACCAATAGATCTGTTTTGGAAGAAGTGCAACCAGAGTGCTCCTTGGAGGCCAAGATGGCTAGGCTTTGTCTCTCATACTTCAGACATACTGTCAGGTTGGACCAGTCCTTGGAGGGGGACATCAGGCTTCGTAAAGTGGAGGGTCAGCGAAAAAGAGGGAGGCCCTCAATGAGGTGGATTGGCACAGTGGCAGCAGAAGTGGACTCAAGTGTAGCAATGGTTGTGAGGTTGGCGCAAGACTGGGCAGTGTTTAGTTCTGTTGTGCAAAACGTCACTATGAGTCAGTACCGACTTGATGGCATCTAACAACAAACAACTACCACCGAGATATCTCAGCCACAATCCAGGGTCCCTGCACTGTGACTCTCCTGATCCAGGGAAGCTCGATGCCGAGACCCATGGAGTTCTCCAAGGCATGCTGGGCCTACAGATGCTGACAGGGGTCAAGGACCTTTCTCCAGAGCTGACACAGGGAGAGAGAAAGCTTCCCTTCCAGCCAACACTCTGAACTTGGACTTCTAGCCTCTAACAGCCTCTAACAATTCTGACAACAATCATCTAGCCCCCAAAATCTCGCTACTATTCCGCTAGGTTTGATAATTCATTGTAATGACTACACAGAAGTCATAATTGTGGCTTTATTAGGGATGGTAACAGCTTATGATTCAGGATCAGATACGCTCGGGATCTAACACCTATGCGAGTCGCTTCTCTTAGCCACATGGGCAGGAGTGCCGCGCCAGTCCTTGGATTCTGAGCCGCGTGACCCCGTGGTTTGCTCAGGCAACATTACAACGTTCTGTAAGCAGTGCCAACAAATGCCCAAAGGGTACTCCGCTCCACCTCAGCCTGAAGGCGCTCAGTTCTAGTTCTGTGGGTCAGCAGACCTAGCTCCCAATTAAGTGTCTGGGGGCACCTACTCCACAGTCGAGCTTCATCCTGGACAGTCTGCTAATAATGCAAATAAGGCTCAAGGAAGCTTTGTGGGGGTGAGTGTACGGAACCCTAAAAAGGAACTGCTTGGTTTTGCCATCTTGATAAGCTGGCACTGAGCTCATCCTGGAAGCACAAGGAGACTTCACTAACAAGAACAGAGAGGAACATGTCCTTTCGCCTGGGGTCCCCGTGCTAAGAAGCTCCGAGACCCAGGAGTCAGAGAGCTTAACACGGGAGAAGGTAGGAGGTAGACAGAAGTGGCAGAGACATCC